CTCTGAGTTTGTCTTTTCATAGAAACCGATACCTAAAGTCCATCCACCGATGCTCGAGCACACCCAAAATTAGCCCCGGATCAGAGGAAGCGGACTCGGAATGCGAGAGGCATGTTGGAGCAACACTCTAATAACAAGCTCTAGGGTTAAATCAATGGGACCGGAGCTTAAGTAAATAATTAACTAATGCAAAAACATTTTGTCTTGATTAAGATCACAGTGGTTTCATTTGAAAAGAAGAATTTTGTCAGAGTCGTTGAAAATGTCCGTGATACCGGTGCTCTAATTAGCGTGGCACAAGACCTTTGCAAACTAGATCCAGATTAAGATGAGGTCACTCACTAACCAGCCCAAAGTTTCTCGGACAAGACCGGAATTACCCGATTTGATCCGACTGGCTGAGGAACGTTTTGTCCTCTGGTTGTCATCATCGAAAGGAAAAGCAGAAAAAATCCGATTGGTTTATTGAAAAGTTGGATCACGCCATTCGACAAAGCGGACAAGAGTCTTCATGGAAATGGTTTATTTGATTTACCGATCCAAGTAAAAAAGATTAATCTTTGAAGGTTTGGTCATTATTTGAATGTGATTCTGGTAAAGAAAACGATTAGTTTGAAGGTCAAAGCAATAGCGTATTCCCTGGTTTGTTGCAAATTTGAGCATGATGAGGAAACGAATCCAGATTCCTTTTAGCTGGAGGTTTTTAAACTTTATTTAAAGCCGGGAGATGCTTGTGCCATGTCAGTTATTAGATGTTTATGCCTAGAAACAAACAAATCCATCCACGTTGATCGCTCCCTGTGACAAATCCGATCTCGTTCTAATTTATGGCCTAAGGTAATGTTTTATTAGCTCTGCAAATACGCCTGAATATATGAAGACATTGATGCTCTGTTGCTCAATCGCCAATTTAGTAATCTTATAAGACCCTTTCACAAGCCTATACTACTTCGTCGATAACATATTAAAGTTCGAAAATCACACGATGGATTTGTTTATGAGAATTCGTAAACGATTTTTGCAACCCGTGAATCGGTTCTAATTGTAAACATAACTGCTTCATAAGATCTAATTAGAATCTTTACTGTGATGAAAACAGATATATTCCATTGAACTGGTTCACAACAGATTATCAGACCCGTGAAGATCAGGGTTAGAATTGATCTTCAGCAATCATGCTTGTTGTACGAGGCGACCAACGGGTCGGGTGGTCAGACTCGCTGACTTGGTTGACACATGTCATCGTATGCCAGTTGAGTAGAGCGATGCTCATGATGTTGATCACTGTATTGTCTGGTCCAACTGGACTATTTACAGATCGAAGTCAAATGTGTGGGATATCCGGCGTTGAACAACAAACAAAACACAGCGAATGCCTACAGATGTCAGAAGAGATACAGGTTTGCGCTATGCAGGTGCGTGCCTTGGCCGTAAGACCAGTGAAGGTCCGGGCTAGAATTGATCTTCAGCAACCCATGCTTGTCATAAGAGGCGACTAACGGGATCGGGTGGTCATGTTCGCTGTCTTAGTTGACACATGCCATCGTATCCCAATTGCCGATGCTCATGCTGTTGTTCACTGTGTGGTCCAGACTCGATTATTTAAAGATCGCCGCCATATAGCTGGAATATTGCTGAGTGCGGCGTTAAACAACAAACCAACCAACCAACCCTTGGTCATAACTATAACCGCTGGACTTGGAATCGAATTGATAAGAGTTTACAAGGTGGCGGTTAACTGATACACTTCTCGCTGTCATTGTTATCTCCCTCAGATATGTCAGGATTCGCGCTAGTCATCGGTAAGAACGCCATATTTAAAGTGACAGTAGACCGCACCCTGGTTTCTTGTCGTGCGAGTGCATCTCTTAGCTTAGACTTAAGCGTTGTCTCTGAATGCATTTAACTTTTTTTTAATAGGAACAAACAATCCCATTTAAGTGGAAAATCCCCAGTGAGACGGCAAATACAGAAGATGAGGAAGTCTAGACTTGTTTCATTTAGGGTTTTGAAATTGCAGGGAAGCCTGGCAGTAGGGAAATAAATACGGTTCAGGGACTATGTGACAGGCGTCTCCAAGCTGTATAAGAATTGCAGGAAGTTGGTTTGAACCTCAGATTTAAACGGGTTAAAGTCCATGATTTCTAGCACCAAAACGGTTGTCGTGAATTCTCCGAAGCTTTCCTCACACTTAAAGCAGGTGCGCTTTTTACATCCCGTTCAACAGGTTCACTCAAGAATGAGAATAGTCCGTATTTCATTCATCAGATGGTAAGTGATTGTTTCGTCAATGAAGCTAGGGTATTTGTGTTGCATACCTGTGTGCATACCTGTGTACGAGAAAGCAATGACTGGACTTCATGATCAGCTTCTGTTATATTGAACGTCACTGTGAGTAAACAAGAAAAGCTATTCTGGGATGATTTTCGTTATGCCATCCCAAGAAACATATAATTTTTGTTTGATCCGGAATGTCACATTCCGCAATATTGAAACTATATAACGTCAGCCGGTAAATATCAAAGTCTGAATCAGTTAATCCGGTGATTGATAATGTGAACACCAAACTTCGAGGTTATTATAAGATATGCATTCAACCCTATTTACTTACCTGGTGTCCACCCATTTACTTAATTGGTATCCACCCATATACTTACCTGGTATCCACCCATTTACTTACCTGGTATCCACCCATATACTTACCTGGTATCCACCCATTTACTTACCTGGTATCCAGCTTGTTGCTGGGGCCTTCGACTAACATCTTGTCTCTGAAGTGAACATATTTTGCCGAAAAAAAAACTTCATAAAAACTAATCATAAAATATAATGAAAAGAAGTCAAGAGACTTTCTACATATTCCTGAAACTGGAAATCTAGACTTGCCACATATTCTAGACTTGCATAGACTCTCTTGGATATATACTGATGTTGAAAAGAAAGTACACTCCTGATTTCTTTGGTAAAATATTTTCTTGAAAACAGCATTAATATTCAAAAAGTGTTTGATTCTGCCTTGTCACAAACATTGTGCAAGTGTTTCCAAAACACCACAGATATTGTTCCAATTACAACATTGCTAGCAAAGTATTTATGATTTTATTGGGAATAGTCCCCAAACACCAGGTGTCTACTTTCTTATGAACGTCAGTATATTTGTTTCATGGTCTGGATGGCAGACTACTGGGGTCTATTCTAACTAAATCCCTACAGGGAGGATGGAAATATGAAATTTCTACTTTCATTGATCTGTGACATGAACGGACAACTTACCATGTTCGCACGGTGACGTACGGTACGAACTTATCAAAACTGTCCAGCCATTGCTTTCTGACACACAGGTATGCACAGTTAATTACCTTTACTGACAGGTAATAATTGCGCAAGCAGCCTGGTTTGTGGGGCGTATTCACCATAACCCCGATTTTCGTTATGTTCCCTACACACATACACGGCTCTTTAATTCGTCACATAAAAGGCTTTTCTCGTTAGTGTGAAAAGTTGAACTTTTTAACAATATTAACAGGTCCGGATTTTCCCGTCAACCTGAATGGTAGAGCCTATTCAAAATACAAAAACGGACACGGATTTCCTCCTTGTACTGAACGGTAATACCTTTTCAACATATAAAAAGGGGCTCGACTTTCTCCTTTAACTGAAAGGTAGAACCTTTTCAAAATTTAAAACGGATTGCGGATTTTCTCGTTAAATTGAAAGGTGGATCGTATTTCCAAATATAAAACGGATTACGGATTTTTCTGCGCGGTTTGTCAGGCTCCGTTTTTGCACAACGCTCGCGATTTTTTAAAGCAGTAATCTGCTGGTGATTCAATGTTCAGTGGTGAAGAGTCACGTTTCGCTACAAGTATGTATTCCGGGCAGCTGTGTGTGATTTGAGTCACGTCAGTTTCGGTGAACAGGCTAACAATTCACAATCAGGCTCCTAACACCCTCCGAAGTATGAAGTTATATTTGCAAATGCCTACTCATTCATTCATTCTGACATGGAGTGTATTTTCACCATCTGAGACGCTCGCCAACGATTTCTGCAAGTTTTACATCAACCGCGTTTGAACTGAAATAATTGTCCTGTCTCATAGTCAGAGAAGCAACTGGTTCCTCGATCGACGTTCATTGCTGTACTGGCTCGGCGGTAGCGCGCACGTACTATACCCAGCCGTCAGCTGGGCTATATCGAACCATCTAAACTTGGCCGGTGTTTTTAAGCATCTAACGAAGTAAAAACGTAACTACAGTGCAGTTTATTCACACAACATGATCTGGGTGGGAAAAAAGATTAAACTGTTTTCAAATAAAATAATAGCGTTTTTGAGTTGCATATTTTGGCTTAACTAAGCAATAAGATTCGAATAATTGCATTTTTGGCACTGGTGAGGTTAATAAAATGTGGTTTCTTTTCTGAGCTGATAAGTTTATAAGTTCTTCGAATAAACTACGGTGTAGCTAAATTGGAGGGATAGGATGTGTAGCTAAGACAATGGCCTTTTGTTTCCATTCGTTTTATAGGTCATCATAAAACGACGTAACGACTCTGTAACAGCCCGCTAATCTTGCCAAACACGCAACAATGGCGCACAATTGCACGATCAAACAGTAAGTATAGCGATGACACGCACGTGTTGCTCCTTACAGAGCATTAGGAGCCACATTCACAATGGTGGTGTGAGGAGTTAAGACCTAAACGAAAACAGAGCAGCTTGGTGCTAATGCGTTTATGATGCAGTTGATCTGGAGAACAATTAAGATAAGCCATCTTATCGCGAACCCAGATTCCTTGTTATGGAAATGACAGGTTTCCCTTACCACAAGTTATGCAAGACGTGTTTGTTAACTATTACCTGTACCAAGCACGTGCGATAAAACTGAAGTAGTTTGTTAACGTATCAGCGTACAGAAAACGAGTCACGGTTCTAAGCCGGAGAAATGTAGGGAATCCTCAGCACACTGTGTGGAGTTTGTGAGCTCAGACCTCTGCAGTCCACGTTATCCGAGCGTCATTCGGCGCGGCTCGGAGCAAACGGGAGTGAATGGGTTTGTAGTAAGCGGTTGAGGTTGTGTAGTAAGATCTATACAGATCTGTCGAACTGACCACGCTGGTGATTGGTGGGAGGGTCCGAGATCACGTGACTTTATCAGCACGCGCCAGATCACATGGTTACTGCCAACTGGTGTTCGCCTGCGAGAGTGTAGTACAGGGGAATTCCTGTACATGTCGAATGAACATCAATCAGCTGGTCGGTGGATTCTATAGGCTGTCGTTCACAGTCGGAAGGAGAGGGGTACCGTTGATCATTAGAACAGGACTGGGAGACAGAGCCGGCTCAATGAGAGGATAATCTCAAGGGACGCCTGTTGGATAGAGGCAACAGTGGACGTTATAATTATACCATTAAATCAATGAAAGGATTGAGAGAGTGTCCGAAATTTGAGGATCGGAGAGCCATGCGGAATTGAGGCATGAATAGGATGTGTCATTGGTGAAAAAAGGCTATGGGGCTTCTGACGACGGGAAGGTGTTCAACAGTTTGAAACCCGGTGTCATTAATTTTCCTAAGTTTTCTAAGTGTTGGTCGACAATCTCTAAAACTGGCGCTGAAAAAATTCTCAGCTTCCTCCTATTTCGGAAAGAAATTATCCTCGTGGAGGACGAGGTTTGATGATGTCATCACTGACCAAATCCACAAGTGGAAAGCCAGTTGCTCATGGAGCAGACGACACCCCAACACGGGCACGTGCGTTGCCAAAGCAACCGAGGCCAAAGAGACAGAGGCCAAAGCTGATGAGCCTCAATCACAACCACAAAGCATGGCCCTGACACCTGTGTCCATCCTGTGGTCACTTTTGTCCATTTTCGTTGCCTCAACGTGTACAGTGACCTTTTTCTACCCGGCCTGGGTGACCCACCCGGATAGACTCCATTCATTCGGGGTGTTCAGATACTGTGTGAGGAACCTTGAGATCCTCATCCCCACCCCCAGGTGCATCAGCTACGGAGGCAACCCCACCCTGGGTAGGATTCCCGCGGGGGCGTGGCAGGCCTCGTGTATCCTATACGGAGGGGGGTGTATTCTTATGTGTGTGTCAGCGTTGTTGACAGTCTTCGTGTTGTGCGTGGACAAACCCAAACATAGGCGCTTGGCGTTAATCAATGGCTATCTACAGACCGTTGCAGGTAAGACCCTGGTTAAGTGTTCAAATTTATAAATGAGTACATGTATGTCTATTTTCAGATACAACCCCCTTTTCAGCTTATAAATTTATAACTAATTTGTAACCGAGGATATTGGAGTCATACATCCAGCATAAGTCACTTTTAAACAAACTTCAGCGCTTCGACAAATGTAATGATCTCGGTGTATGTAAAATCTACATTGACATACTTTACAAGATCTAACAGTATACATCGCCCAGAAGTTCTGTGTTCGTTCTTCAGATATTTTGTTTCATTTCGTCACGTAATACAATACGGGAATACAAAATTCTGTTTAACAACGTCCTGGTCACAGTTCTGTAATATCGCAGCAGTCCGGATTGAACAGGTTCCGGATTAACAAATATAGGTATGAAGCAATGTCCCTTTAACTATGTATAGACCTTTACAATAAAACAATAATAAAAGTATCATAACAAGGTTTCAGAATAGCAGGTTTCGGATTAGTAAGGTTTTCAGAAAGACAATGGAGAGTCTGATTATCATCACCGCCAGATGTTGTTGCCAGAATGTCATTTCTCATGTAGATATCCGTCTGTCCCACGTCAATTAATCACGAACGTCAGTGTTCAGTAGACCGTCTGTACTCGTACATACTGCTGGGGCCGATCCACGACAGCAGACAAATCTAAATCCCTTACAAATCTCATTATGACATCCACAGTGTTACCATACTCCACCGACGTCTAGTCACCGTGACGGTGTGTTGACATGCCACAGGTTTATGACTTAAATCTGCCTCACTTTTATTATTTGCGCTCTTTGTAACCATGTCATGAACCTTCTCGTTTTTCCAAGCAACACGGTGCAACAGTTTGAGTTTTTTTGCGATACTCTTTTGCACTAAGGCCGAGTGGATGCGTTGAGTGTTTATTGCACGGACTTGACGAAAAGAAGTTTCTGTTTCAGTCCAGCTGTAAATGGTCATCATTTAGCCAGAGATGAAGTCTTTATGTATGACAATGATGACTATCAGTGATACCGGAGTCTCTCTAGAACACCGTTTAGTCTCTGATAGTGTATCTGTTTGAAAGAAACAAAGAGCAACGTTTTTATTGAACAGGAGCCCCAGTGATACGAGCGTTTTAGAACCTGTAGAAAACCAGAGTTTCTTTATATTGTCGGGAGTGAAAATTATATTGTTCAGGAATTGCTAGATGAAGTTTTATTGTAGTTGATCGTGTGACCATTAAAGTAACGCGGAGTTGGGACATAGAATACTACTGTATACTACCAGTATAGCCTGGCGAGGGTTTTCAAGGTCTTTTAAATCACCATGGTCATTTTAATTTTGGGATACGTCAGAAGAGGGTACAATAAAACTATGATAATCTGGTCGGTCAACTGTCCCGATTGACGAATCGTGTCTTGTTTGTGGTGCCCCTTTAACAATGGATAGGTTTCTGTGATAATAGTATTAAACGGTCTGGAATAACGACGTCCGTACTAGGGAGGTTACGCTGTTGTGTGATTGTGAACGAGGTCCATGTGATGGGGTTGACTATATTCAAGACAAAGTATTATTCATCTCGAGGTAGACTCAAACTCCATTCATCTCAGTCAGTATTGTAAATCTCACTTAAGTCACTTAATTGCTTCTCTACTTCAACGTCTCACACAGCACCATTGTGACCTCGTTACGACTTCCTGTAAATGGCCAAGTCAGCCACGTCAAGACAAACCAGTGATTGATATCATGAGCAAAGTCCTTGGCGTCCGGTGATATACAGTCAACCAAGTGACAGAACTTGATCACCCTATCCATTAAGCCGCCGTGGCCTATTGCAATCCGGAATCATCAGTTGGTAAGGGGGGATCTTTTGTAATAACCGCAATTATATTATTGTATAGTATTATAGTATCTAAAATATATAATCTATACTTAGCTGATTTTGGCTTTGATTGTGCGAAAATGGGTTCCCCCGTCCTTATCTTCACTTAAAGGGGTTCTCTGTCTTCCGCGAATTACACCTGCATATACTGATATATCCGTGTTAGCTCTGTATCACGGAGATCAGCTTACCTGATTGGCTTACCCTCTGAATCATTCCTTTAAACGATGCTTCTGGAGTATACACGTTACAGGCAACAGCCCCGGTTTAACTGCATATGCCTTCATTGCCTAGTACTGACCCTACGCCAACAGATCCCCAAATTAATTCTGACATTTGACCAACTGTACAATCCAAAGCTATACATCTTAACGACTGTCAGTAAATTCAAAAGCCTGCTCTAATAGCGAGGTAACGTTCATCAATCCTCCGAGGGCATTGTATGGAATCACGATAGCTGTAAGGCAACGCTCCCCTTGCTGTAGGGGACGAAAGTCGCCCAACAAGACGGCGCGATATGTACTCGTATTATGAAGCCTCTTATGTCAATTAGAGCTTTAGGACAGTAATGCGTGGCCCGTATTGCTTGGCATAACCCTCCTTACCCCATGTGGAGCTCCACAACCTCCTCTAGAGCTCACACTCTATTCTACATGCAGCAATGGCAGGAGAATTGGTCTTTATTGGCCGCAGAATTGGTTTTCACTGCCGTTCTGTCATGTAATCAATCAAACTATCAATTTGAACAGGACGCTAGCAATTAACCCTCCTTATTGTTTATCGTTGGGGAAGGAGCTTCTTTGGCCTGTTCATCCTTGAGGAATGTTACGACTGCGTTTTGTCCATAATCGTTCAGCGACATGACAGTGGAATGCATTATACGAACAGAGTGTGCATTGTATGGATGCTTAGCTGGGCCAATTCGTGACGTGTTTATGTGGTATTGTAAATAAACAAACGTAACCCTAATTAGCTTGTCAGTGGGGAAATGGTAATATCAAGTGCTTTCCTGTCTAGGGGGGACATGTAAAGACATAAAGACGGTTTTTTTCGTTGCATATAAGTGTTTCGTGTCAAGATATACCAGTTACGTGTTTCTCGCTTACCGTTTCTGCCATGTCAAATGAGGAAGAATGATTCGTATGGACTCAAGAAGAAATACAATATAACTCGTAAATCCGGACGGGTTTTCATGTGAACAATGTCCAGTCTAACGAGTATATGCATCCACATATGCATTTATATGTTGTCAGATTAACGGAGTCCGGACTGACGAAGTTTCACTGTATCGATGAATTAGCACAGTGGTTGCGCGTTCACTGGTCTTGAGGCTAAAGACTCGGTTCGATTCCCACAATTTAAATGTACCACTCAAAATAACTTAAAGCACAGTCAATTCTTTATAGTACGATAATCAATATGTCACGAGATGAACATATATGAACTGTTGTGACATGAGGAACTCGGGTGCTCTTTCATGTCATGATAGTTAAGTATGGTCAAAAAATGTTAAAGCATCGGGTGTTGTTGTGTTTTAACTTCTACTGTGTAGTTTCCGAACTCGCTCTAATACTCTCACTGCCATGATCGTGAAATACTGGTGCACATCCTAGCATTTAATCATTGTGAAAAGTGGCTCACTTACTTTCTCTTAAAATGCCAATAGTGACATTTATATCAAGTAAACTACGTTTATATCGAATACGCTTAATACGAATTGACGGATATAAAGAACCGTTTTTCTATGTCCACATCGCTTGCTGTATATTATGATATTATTCAAATTGCTTATAACGAACTACGTATATAACGAACCAAAATCAGTGGTTCCTGTAAGTTCGTTATAACCGTAGTTAATTGCATGAGTTAATGTTAAATGGAATTCAGACCTCGAACTCGTCAAAAGACGGTTACATATAATCGACTGTGATGTATCCATTTTCACACGCAACACCTTGACACAGAATAATCACGATCAGACATTGTAGGTGCGCTTCAAGCAGTAATATTACCGCGTTATCTTTGTCAGGTCCAGAGCTACAGATGTTCATGGGAAATGTTAACATCCTTCGTCTCGTACAGATAAGCTGTATCTCTAAGACTTGCAGAGGAAACTGGATCGCTTTCGTATCCACTTTATGCTTATGTTATTAGGGTACTGCGACAGCTTAATAGTCTGGATGATAGGAACACTGCGACTGGGGCGGGATGCTGTGATGTCAGTCATCAAACAGCGTTATGGGCTACTGGGAAGTGGTGCCGTAGGTGCCCGGATTAAAGGCAGTCGTCGATACCTACTAAAAGGCTGCCAGGCATAAAGTAACACGTGACCCAATGCATCACAATGGAATTCCTGAGTGCTGAACACTCGTCAGCAGTACACTATATTACAACATATTCCTTTAAGAATTGCATAGCGCCCTGTGTTTCTCTTATGTAAAGTCTATACCTAAGTCCTGTATGAAAATGTCTATAGAAGGCTAACGTAATACAGTTCTACCAAGTTTACATGGCTACCTGTTCGGAAGCACATAATGCCGATGACCCGTGAAGATCCGGGATGGAATTGGTCTTCGTGCTTGTCGTAAGAGGCGACTAACGGGATCGGATGGTCAGGCTCGCTGACTTGGTTGAAACATGTCATCGTGTCCCAGTTTCGTAGATCGATGCTCATGCTGTTGATCACTGTATTGTCTAGTCCTGAATCGATTATTTTCAGACCGACGCCATTGCTGAGTGAGGCGTTAAACAACTTCAACATAATGCCGATAACTTCGCCGTAATGCTATAAGGCACAACATATCGCAACGGCAATACAAATTATTCCCTGGATTATAACGGGGCTAACGCAGAAAGGATTCGGAACGTTCAATTAGCAGTAAGGAGCCGATGGACACCGATGGTTCGAACCAGTATCATGCAAGCTATGAGCAAACGCGCCTTCACCCGAGCTACTCAACTGCCCACCGAAGAAATCAAACCGTTCCCTATTTGAAACTTTGTTTAGTGTAAGTTATAGAACACATACGTCATTTCGTGTTTGAATTATTGCAGTTTGGTTCCAAACACGTAAATAAGAACAGAAATACCATAATCTTGACATTCCATATAATATACAAACACCGTTGT